TATACACTCCAGCCTACAGAGTGCGGTGGTCAGGAACATGTCATATACACTCCAGCGTGCAGAGTGTGGTGATCAGGAACATGTCATATACACTCCAGCGTACAGAGTGTGGTGGTCAGGAACATGTCATATACACTCCAGCGTGCAGAGTGTGGTGGTCAGGAACATGTCATATACACTCCAGCGTACAGAGTGTGGTGGTCAGGAACATGTCATATACACTCCAGCGTACAGAGTGTGGTGGTCAGGAACATGTCATATACACTCCAGCGTGCAGAGTGTGGAGGTCAGGAACATGTCATATACACTCCAGCCTACAGAGTGCGGTGGTCAGGAACATGTCATATACTGGCAGACATACAGAGTGCAGTGATCAAGTAAAGTAGCCTATATATCCATGCCATGCAATTAATGCAGTAGGTATAGAGCAATATCCATCTACAAAAGATCACATGTAAAATACTGCTCAATCTATAATGTGACAACCAGCAGAACACCTGCACAGTACCCAGCAGGAAACAAAAGTTGTAAGAGCCAGCCAAGAGACCATCGGGCTTCTACAAGAACTGTCATTACAATGACTGCCTAAAGCACACCCTGCTATCAATATGCTGCAAGTCCTGTATGTTACTGTAAATGCAGTACTGTACTCACACAAAGAGATACTCACCTTTATATAACATTTCCACTGTAAATAAACTGCCAATGCACCAGGCAGGATTTAGGACAAAACAGAGCTTAATGCATTTATCTTAAACATCTGGATAGGGATGTGACCTGAATGTTTCCTTTTAATCTCTTCCATGTGCCAGGGCTAACACTGGTAAACAAGCAACTCCAAGTAAATATCACACAGCTATGTACTCAGTATTACTCCCATATGTACTGTCAAAAATGTGATTTATTCAGACAAATAAAACATTAAAGTGTTACTAGACTCAGAACCCTGCATTCGCTAAATCTGGTCTCCCACAGTACACAGAACATTGAAATGCAATTATTTTAGTAAATATAAACTGCCAAACCTTTTCTCATAAGCAGTTAGAGCCGTCTTGTGACTTCTATCAGTATCCAGCAGAGCACTGGTTAAAGCTTGTAGGAGGAGTTTTCATTCTCCTCTGATTGTCCTATGAGGCTGCAGTAAACCTGACCCACTGTCTGGACAATGCTGATTGGCCCTGTGCTGATCACATGCACTCTCTCAAGAAAAAAAAAAACCTCTCTAGCAATACACACCAAACTGAGTATGTGCAGCTTGCCCCCAAGGCTCCGTTCTATCAGCAGATGGATTGGGGACTGTGGAAGAAGGGGAGGATCAGAGAAGACAGGATCAAACAGCCTTTTTACACAATACAGAGGATTAACCCCTTAGGTTCCACAGTGCTCCATCTGCTGATAGAACGGAGCCTTGGGGGCAAGCTGCACATACTCAGTTTGGTGTGTATTGCTAGAGAGGTTTTTTTTTTTCTTGAGAGAGTGCATGTGATCAGCACAGGGCCAATCAGCATTGTCCAGACAGTGGGTCAGGTTTACTGCAGCCTCATAGGACAATCAGAGGAGAATGAAAACTCCTCCTACAAGCTTTAACCAGTGCTCTGCTGGATACTGATAGAAGTCACAAGACGGCTCTAACTGCTTATGAGAAAAGGTTTGGCAGTTTATATTTACTAAAATAATTGCATTTCAATGTTCTGTGTACTGTGGGAGACCAGATTTAGCGAATGCAGGGTTCTGAGTCTAGTAACACTTTAATGTTTTATTTGTCTGAATAAATCACATTTTTGACAGTACATATGGGAGTAATACTGAGTACATAGCTGTGTGATATTTACTTGGAGTTGCTTGTTTACCAGTGTTAGCCCTGGCACATGGAAGAGATTAAAAGGAAACATTCAGGTCACATCCCTATCCAGATGTTTAAGATAAATGCATTAAGCTCTGTTTTGTCCTAAATCCTGCCTGGTGCATTGGCAGTTTATTTACAGTGGAAATGTTATATAAAGGTGAGTATCTCTTTGTGTGAGTACAGTACTGCATTTACAGTAACATACAGGACTTGCAGCATATTGATAGCAGGGTGTGCTTTAGGCAGTCATTGTAATGACAGTTCTTGTAGAAGCCCGATGGTCTCTTGGCTGGCTCTTACAACTTTTGTTTCCTGCTGGGTACTGTGCAGGTGTTCTGCTGGTTGTCACATTATAGATTGAGCAGTATTTTACATGTGATCTTTTGTAGATGGATATTGCTCTATACCTACTGCATTAATTGCATGGCATGGATATATAGGCTACTTTACTTGATCACTGCACTCTGTATGTCTGCCAGTATATGACATGTTCCTGACCACCGCACTCTGTAGGCTGGAGTGTATATGACATGTTCCTGACCTCCACACTCTGCACGCTGGAGTGTATATGACATGTTCCTGACCACCACACTCTGTACGCTGGAGTGTATATGACATGTTCCTGACCACCACACTCTGTACGCTGGAGTGTATATGACATGTTCCTGACCACCACACTCTGCACGCTGGAGTGTATATGACATGTTCCTGACCACCACACTCTGTACGCTGGAGTGTATATGACATGTTCCTGATCACCACACTCTGCACGCTGGAGTGTATATGACATGTTCCTGACCACCGCACTCTGTAGGCTGGAGTGTATATGACATGTTCCTGACCACCACACTCTGCACGCTGGAGTGTATATGACATGTTCCTGACCACCGCACTCTGCACGCTGGAGTGTATATGACATGTTCCTGACCACCACACTCTGCACGCTGGAGTGTATATGACATGTTCCTGACCTCCACACTCTGTACGCTGGAGTGTATATGACATGTTCTTGGCCACCGCACTCTGTACGCTGGAGTGTATATGACATGTTCCTGACCACCGCACTCTGTACGCTGGAGTGTATATGACATGTTCCTGACCTCCACACTCTGTACGCTGGAGTGTATATGACATGTTCCTGACCACCTCACTCTGTATGCTGGAGTGTATATGACATGTTCCTGACCACCGCACTCTGTACGCTGGAGTGTATATGACATGTCCTTGACCTCCACACTCTGTACGCTGGAGTGTATATGACATGTTCCTGGCCACCGCACTCTGTAGGCTGGAGTGTATATGACATGTTCCTGACCACCGCACTCTGTACGCTGGAGTGTATATGACATGTTCCTGGCCACCGCACTCTGCACGCTGGAGTGTATTTGACATGTTCCTGACCACTGCAGTCTGTACGCTGGAGTGTATATGGTATGTTCCTGGCCACTGCACTCTGTATGCTGGAGTGTACAGTATATAACATGTTCATGACCACTGTATTCTGTATACTTGACTGTATAGGACATATTTCGAACCACTGAACCTTGTATGCTGGGCTGTATGTGATACACTCCTGACCACTGCACTCTGTATACTGGACTGTATAGGACATGTTCCAAACCACTGAATTCTGTATGCTGGGCTGTATGTGATACACTCCTGACCACTGCACTCTGTACACTGGGTTGTATATGGCATATTCCTTACCACTGCACTGTATACTCTGGACTGTACATGATATGTTCCTGACCACTTCACACTGTGTACTGGGCTGTATATGATATACGCCTGACCACTGCACTCTGTATGCTGGTCTGTATAGGACATGTTCCTGATACTCTGCACGCTGGAGTGTATATGACATGTTCCTGACCTCCACACTCTGTACGCTGGAGTGTATATGACATGTTCTTGGCCACCGCGCCCTGGCACATGGAAGAGATTAAAAGGAAACATTCAGGTCACATCCCTATCCAGATGTTTAAGATAAATGCATTAAGCTCTGTTTTGTCCTAAATCCTGCCTGGTGCATTGGCAGTTTATTTTACTGTTGTGGGTGTAGTAACACTTTAAGGGTCTATTCACACCATCAACTACATTTCAACATGCAGTGTAATGCAGCGCACTGATTGTGGCACATCGCTGTTTACATTTGTTTTTAAATTAACTTAAATGAAATGTTACACAGTGACATTTCCTTAAGTTCTATCTGCCGCTGCACGGTGCGAGGAGGTGGATTGCCTCAAACTGCGCTGCACTGGAAAGAAGTACATCCTGCTGTACTTTTTTCAGTGCACACCACCATCACAAAACTTTGCTAAACTCCAAATAAAGGTGATGTTTATTTTCGCAAAACTACAAGAAAAGTTAATACAAAATTTATCCACTTGTGGACCACCCTATACATATATACTGAGGTGGGGCGGCTGCTCTGCACTGGTTCACGTACATGTACGTGATCCGGAATTTTGAGGTAGGGGGTGCAGGCACGCTCGCCCCCTGCCCCATCTGTACTGTCAGCACAGCACATGCTGCTCCCAGCCAATTAGGGCCGGTACCTGATGATTGGCTTAGCAAATACTAGTACAGAGTCCCGTGTTTACCAACAACACAGGGCTCTGTACATGGAGCAGAGATGTGGCTATTTTTTTCTCCCTGTAAAGGGCGATAAAACAGTCACAACTCTTAGTAAAAGCAGCATGCGGTACACTTGTTAGGCACGTGGTTAACCCTTTGATTGCTCCTAGATGTTAGCCCCTTCCTAGCCAGTATCAGTGTATAGTATTAGCACTGATCACTGTACTTGTGTCACTGGAGATGACACTTTGTCAGTTCCCATCCAGTGTCAGTGTTAGATTGCAGTCACACTATCAAGTTCCACTGTAAGTTGTTGAGTTGTTTGAGTACGTTGTTGTTGTTGAGTAAGTTGTTTATTTAACAAAAAAAAAAACAGTGGTGATCAAATACCACCAAAAGAAAGCTCTATTTGTGTAAAAAATGGATATACATTTAATTTGGGTACATTGTTGCATGACTGTGCAATTGCCAGTTTAAAAAGTACAGTGCCAAATAGCAAAACAATGCTCATGAAAGTGGTAAAACCTTCTGGTACTTAAGTGTTTAAACTGTATGTGACTTTGTTTACTAGCCCCTTTGGAGGCCTCTTGGAGTAGCGTTGTTTTAACTACCTCCCGCCCGCCGTATAGTAATATGAAGGATGCAAGGCGATTCTCTCATTCTGGGAGGACATCATATGACGTCCTCCCATTCTAACCTTGGACACAGCAGATCACCGATCCACGGAAAGAGCCGCAGATGTCGGCTCAGTCATGTGATCAGCTGTGTCCAATCACAGCTGATCACAGGTAAACAGGGAAATGACGGTTATCTGCATTTCTCTCCTCACGAGCTGTCACGCTGACAGCTTGTGAGGAGAGCCTGTAATCGGCATTCCTCGGAGGGGACATGTACACTGATCATCAGGGCACTGATGATCAGTGTGCCCTGATGATCTGTGTAGCCCCAGCAGCGCCACCTGCCAGTGCCCTGTCAGTGCCACATTTCAGTGCCCGTCAATGCCACAGATCAGTGCCCATCTGAGATGCCTTTCAGTGTCACCCATCACTCAGATGCCAGTCAGTGCCACCTATCAATGCCAGTCAGTGCCACCTATCAGGGCTGCCAATCAGTGCCACATATCAGTGCCAGTCAGTGCCGCTTATCAGTGTGCATCAGTGCCGCCTATCAGTGCCTGTCAGTGCCGCATATCAGTGCTGCCTAACAGTGCCAGTCAGTACCACCTAACAGTGCCAGTCAGTGCCGCCTATCAGTGCCAGTCAGTGCCGCCTATCAGTGCCACCTATCAGTGCCATATATGAGTGCTGCCTTTCAGTGCCCATCAGTGATGCCTGTCAATGCCCATCAGTGCCACCTACCAGTGCCTCCTCATCAGTGCCCATCAATGCCACCTATCAGTGTCCATCAGTGCAGCCTATCAGTGCCCATCACTGCAGCCTCATTTGCGTACATCAGTGAAGGAGAAAAAATCACTTATTTACAAAATTTTATAACAAAAACTAAAAAAAAAAGTTTTTTTCCAAAATTTTCAGTGGTTTTTGGTTTGTTTAAGAAAAAAAAAAATCCAGAGTTGATTAAATACCACCAAAAGAAAGCTCTATCTGTCACAAAAAATGCTAAAAATTTCATATGGGTACAATGTTGCATGACCGTGCAATTGTCATTCAAAGTGCAACAGCGCTGAAAGCTGGAAATTGGCCTGGGCAGGAAGGGGGTATAAGTGCCCTGTAGGCTAGTGGTTAAGACCGATCCGTACAGCCTGGGATACACAGGTTCTCTATGTAGGGGCATGCGGGCAGCCTATGGAAATAATGGGCTGCCTGTCGCACAGACCTGCATGGAGTAGTGAATGGCTAAAATGGCAAAAACCTTGAACTTATTTCCCCATCTGGGTCTTGTTGGGGAGATTTTTCCTTTTTAGCCTTCCATAAGTTAGAAGTAAATTTACAAAAATGAGGAGAAAACCCTTCAGGGTGCAAGTTAAAATTATCTATAAAAAATGTGACAATGTCATATAAGTAAATCTACTAATAACTTACACAAAACCATTTGCAAATAATCCTGTTGACAAATGTGTATATTTTTGCTCTGATTCACAAAAAACATTTTCGTTCAGGCACCAGGAGAAGGTATAATAGAGGTGAATACATCACATTCCCTCCATGCAAAGGAATCTATACATATAGGCATTATTGTGGCAGGATTGGGGGCTGGGTATCTTGTAGATATAATCAATGCAGTTACATTGGGCAGTTTACTTTCACCTACTACAGCGATCAGAGACATAATTACATCACTGCTGGCTGCAAAGAGAACTATAGTGGGAAAGTTAGAAGAAAACAGTGGCTAAATGGTTAGCACTTCCGTCTGGCAGTACTAGGGTCATTGGTTCACAATCCCAACCACTCCCCCACCTGCCTGGAGTTTGCATGTTCTCCCTGTGCCTGCGTAGGTTTCCTCTGGGTACTCCGGTTTCCTCCCACACTCCAAAGACATGCTGGTAGGTTAATTGGATCCTGTCTAAATTGGCCCTAATATGTGTATGCATGTGAGTTAGGGACCTTAGATTGTACACCCCTTGAGGGTTAGGGACTGATGTGAATGTACAATATATATGTAAAGCGCTGCGTAAATTGACAGCACTATATACCTGTAATAAATAATGGTGATGGAGGAATAGAGTGCATAATGGCTATCAGTCTTGTGAAATGGTTATCAATGGGAAAGAGTACTTTTTCTCCGTAAGAGAAGCATGGCCTTCTCACTGTCTGGATACAAATGTATGCTAAGATAAACAGATTTGTTAAAGGTAAGAAAGCACCTTTATATAAATGCAAAAAAAAATCTGCCTGGAGTTCAGCTTTAAGTGCTTAATCTGTTAAAAAAGTTAACTGTTGAGTAGACTAGGAACAATTGAGTACTGTCCGTGATACTTTTTTTTATTTGCACTAACATACTATTTTTCAGGACAAGATTTCAGGGTTTACCCACTTCTTCAAGGTCCAAGCAGTAATAATACACAAAGTTTTAGCAGCAGACTATGAAATGTTTTTTTTTTTTGGCTCATGGTGCATTGTTCGCGGCTGCTCCAAACAAATTAACAAAATCAATAATAATGAGAAAAAAGTGTAAATAATAATGTTTTTTTAAAAATGGAAATAAAAAAATTATCAAAAAAAATAGCTTAGAGGTTAAGGAGAGAAGGAGTTAATAAGTACTAGATTAGGGTTAGCTAAGAGAAATAAGGGTGTTAGGAGCATGCTGCAAGCCATCAGGCTCAAGCTGGCCATACATGGTTCAGCTTTTTTTGCTTAGCCAGAAAAAAACTAAATCGGTTTCCCACTTACACAGTCGATGTGGATGGGAGAATCCTTCCTGCTGTGCTATTGTATTCTGACAGCGGGAAACTCCCATCAGAACACGCAGATCAGCACTGCAGCCTATTGCCTACAACACTGATTGAATGACTTTTATCTCACAGGGCAGTTAAACAGAAGTTGATTGGCAAATTGACTTCTGTTCAACCACAGTGACCACACATGGAACAATATTTGGCTGAGTCAGCATGGAATTTCGATCCATGTATGGCCAACATTCAACGGACTGTGCATTCATCATTTCCCCAGCCTGGACTATTGACTACATTTCTGCTTAGTGACTGTGTACCTAGCTGCCCGATTTTTGCTGACTTCTGCCTGTTTCTGACTCTGATTCTGCATATGTCCCAGTGTCCTTCCACTTGGCTGTCACCAGGGGCGGATGGACAACTCATGGGGCCCCCGGGCAATAGGGGATCATGGGGCCCCTGTGTCCTTGTCCAAACTCAAAAAAGCCTATGAAAAAGGTACCAGGGGCATCTTTATCTTATGTGGTATTTACCTCAAAATCCCAAAACACTCAGTAAATACTGCATTAAATGATGTTAAAGTCAATTCACTAAAGGACATAAATTATTAAATGCAATAAATAGTGGTCCAGGCATGAGGTATTTAACCACTGCCCGTCCGGCCCATGTATATAAACGGCCAGTTTTATCTGCTGTTATAAAACGTCCTCCCCGCTTCCCTGCTTGTGCGCGCTCCCTGGGAGTGTGCAGCACCGCAATCCAGTGCCCTTTGTGTCCGGAAGATCGTTGTACGGGACCTCTGTGTGAGGTCCCAATCATGATCATATGAATAGTAGCAAGCAAGATGTCACTTCTGATATCATTGCTTACTACGTGTGAAATCTGTGAACGATCACAAAGATCACATGATACAAGGCTAATCACAACAGCCTTGTACCATGTGACAAGCTGTGACCAATCACAGCTCACACAGTATTTCTCAATGATTGCTTTTACAGCCTTTATGGGGGTAAAAGTAATCAGTGTAAATAAAAAAAAAATCTTCATCACTCCTCACAAGTAGTACAATGTCACTATGGTGACACTGTACTGCTAGGGTGACAGTAGGTTATAAAAAAAAACAAAAAAAAAACAAATAATAATATAAAAATTTAAAAAAATATTTTGAAAAATTATAATTTTTTTTTTTTTTTTTTTTTTTTTTTGTTTGTGGTCACTAAAAAGATAACTGAATACATTTTGGTCAAGATCTATGAAGAAAGATTATTTATTTGCAAAATTTTATAAGAAAAAAACACTTTTTTAAAAAAAATGTTTTGGACTTTTTCATTTATATAGCAAAACAAAGAAAAATCCCAGCGGTGAATAAATACCACCAAAATAAAGTTTTATCTGTCTCAAAAAATGATAAAAAATTAATATGGGTACAGTGTTCCATGACTGCCAATTGTCATTCACAGTGTGATAGCACTGAAAGCTGAAAATTGGCCTGGACAGGAAGGGGGTGAAAATGTACGGACTTGAAGTGGTTAAGGAAAGTATTATTGTGATTATTATTATTACATCAAGTTTATATAGCGCCAAAGGGTTTGCTCAGCGCTGTACAATATAGTAAAAATATAATAGTCCATTTGAAGTAGTCTCTGCCTTTTTGGATCAGTTCTCTCAAGAGTAAAGCATAAAAACCTAAATATGTAAAAATACAGAATAATTGGGATTGATTTACCTAAAGCATAACTAAAGGCAAACATTTTTTTTTTTAGACAGAGTGGAGATGGATTAGATCCCCTGTCAGTGTTTTTATTGCTATCTGTGTCCCTTTAGGGAGATTCACCCTTCCGGTTTGTCCTATTTACCACTATCATTGAAAGTAAAAGAACATGCCAAATTTTGGGTTGTCCCCAGAAAAGTAATAGAGGGGAAATCTTCCAATGGGGACAATGGTTCTGGTGACTTGGGGTCCCAATGTATTCCTTTAACCTCCCTAGCGGTATGATTATTTCAGATTTTTGGTGCTGAAAGCGGGGTACCATTATTTTGCATGGAAATATGTAGTTTTTTTATTGTAGGCTGTAATTTTTAGGAATAACTCACTGAAATCTGTCCGTTTAATAGACAAGAGTCTATTAAACATTCTGGATATGATAAAATTTGAAACGCGAAATCATAAATTATAATTTAATAAATAATCATAAAAAATAATAATATAATAATACATTTAATTCAATAATATAATCAAACCAAAAACACTGAAATTTGAAATAGAGCGCCAAGTTCGCACATTGCTGAGCAAAGTCGCAAAATCGTTTTCAGTGTCTGATGACGAATTTCCCCACAAATCATTATCACTCAATTCTGCAAGTGGTTCTGATTTACTATCGCTGTTCTCTAGCTGATCTAAACCCGCTTTTGACCTAAAGGGACACTTTTTGGACGCCATGGACTTTTCTAAGTTTCCAGGCAGAAAGAATAGACAAAATGCAGCCAGGGCACAGGACAAAGCAGTAGGGACAAAATGTATGTGAAATGGGTTGAAACAGCAATGTTTTGCTATGTAAAATGTGTTTGGAAAAAAATGACATTTTTTAAAATTTTCAAATTTCCCGCCGCCGGCGGCGCCTGTACGTCCCGACGTCTAAGGGACCGGAACACAGAAGCCGGATGCCAGCATCGGCCGGAGGAGATGGCCGGGGACGCTGCAGGGGACACATCGCGGGAGCGAAGGACAAGGTATGTGCTGCAGGGACTCCCTATGCAGCGCCGCATGGTAAGCCCGAGTGTAGCTCGGGGTTACCACTTTTGGCACTGACATTTTACCCCGAGCTACACTCGGGAATGCCGCTAGGGAGGTTAATTTGTAGAGATTTCCTCTCACTTCCTGTTTTGGCTATGGAACAAAAAGTGAACGTAAATCTACCAAATGCAACACAGATGGCAAAAAATTTGACAGGGGTTTTAACTCCCCCTTACTC